GGTGGTGGGGTGGTTGAAGCCTTCCCAAACAATCACGAACACTATATGCATGTTAACCATTATTAATAATTTTATTTTGACCATGTTATCATGGTAGGCATCGCGCATACAAAATGTCATCAGGTGCCCGTCGCCCCTCGGATCCGCCACGTCCCCGTCATTTCAGGCGAAAGACAACAGATCTGCGACACAAATATCCACATTATATCATGTATATATACATGAGTTGCAATGCATTCAAAACTTGTTTCATATGTCTGAACAAAAACCCACTTTATAACCTGCCATTTTGGTTGAGGGGCGTAATTAACTATATAAATATATCACAGCATCCGATACAGTTTAATTTTGGAGTGAGTGTTACATGCATTTCTATTACTAATTCGACTGCACGGGGGGACGTGTTTGAGGCGTGCACCGACTGCAACACGTCGGCAACTTGCCTTTTTACACGATGTGATATCATGTATATGAATAAGTGAGTATGATTTTACGCCTTTTTTTCGCAATATTCCAGCAATATCGCCATGGGGACACACCATTGTGCCCATGTGGGTAATCGAACCCTTCGGCGTGACGAGCGAACGCTTCAACCAATAGACTACCCCATCACCCCCGTGTTTATATGATGTTTGATTTGATTGTTTGTTGTTTGATGCCGCACTCTGCAATATTCCAGCTGTATGACGGCGGTCTGTAATCAATCGAGTCTGGACCAGACAATCCAGTGATTGACATCATGTACAATATGGAAGTTAGCGAGCCTGGCCACCCGATCCTGCATGTAAGTCGCTTTTTACGACATGTATGTGTTCTTGAAGACCAATTCTAACCCGGATCTTCACGGGTATTTATGGCAAACCTTTCCTATATGAAGTGAAGTGGACAACTTGGGTTGGAACACATCCACCGTGGGAAGTTACCTCGAGCAAATAAATACCCTAGAACCGTTTTCCAAGGGAAAGATCGCCATGGTTGAAACCGTGTATACTGTAGTCCGTATTGATCTCAGCGCTCGTTACATAGAGCAATGCCGCGCACGTGCCGGTCACAGCCGCTCATATCACTCGCTTATAGAATTAACGCCGGTTTAACGTCTGACGCGTGGAACTATGCCGCAATGTTGCTACCAGGATGAGGCATTCGCGGCCAAATCGTAATAACAGACAGTCCGCTGTTAATTATTGTATCCGTTAATACCATCAAAAGAGCATATCGATTTGTGAAATAGACACCGCAAGTTGTTCACCGGTGCGTAAACAAACCAGCCATATCAGTGAACGTAGGTGTTTGCCGATAACGTTATTTCAAATATGTAGCAATTTAATATCATAACACATGTTTCAAAACATCAGTACAGTCTATGCTGTTACAAAGCTTTGATTCAATTTCAGAAATATTAATATAATAGGTATTCCCAAATAGTTTTCAGGTCGTGTTTATCTTTCATGGCAATGTGATGTTAGATACGGGTGGGGGGTGGGAGACAACAGCAGCTGTGGGGAGTGCGCAGGGAGTTGCCATAACCAGTCCTGCTTTGTCACTACGGTAGAACAGCGCGTGTTTGCACGTTACGTATGTGCCCATGTGACCTTTGCATATGCATGGTCATATCTGTGAGAGAGTGTGAGGGAAAATGAGAGAGCGTGAGAGAGAGTGTGAGATAGTATGAGAGAGTATGATAGTTTGAGAGAGTGTGAGAGAGTATGAGAGAGTAAGAGATAATATGAGAGAGTATGGCAGAGAGTATGAGAGAGAGAGCGTGAGAGAGTACGAAATAGTACGAGTGTGAGGGAGTATGAGAGTGAGAGTGATAGAGTATGAAAGAGTGTGAGAGAGTATGATAGTTTGAGAGAGTGTGAGAGAGTATGAGAGAATGTGAGAGTATGAGAGAGAGAGCGTGAGAGAGTACGAAATAGTATGAGAGAGTGTGAGTGAGAGTGAGAGAGTATGAAAGAGTGTGAGGGAGTATGAGAGAGTGTGAAAGCGTGAAAGAGTATGGCAGAGTGAAATAGTGTGAGAGCGTGAAAGAGAGTGAGATAGCGTGAAAGAGAGTGAGAGAGCGTGAAAGTGTATGGCAGAGTGAACACACACACATACACACACCCAAACACACACACATTTACAAACACATACATACATACATACGTACATACGTACGTACGTACGTACGTACGAACGAACGTACGTACATACATAGATTTATTTCGAAGACAGAAATATTCATTGATATAAATTACGTCATGGAGATATCACATAACATCCGGGGCTTCGCGACATTAAACATATTAACATGATTTATTCGGGTTTTATTATTTATTCGAACTCCGTCAGTTTCAAATGTGTGTATAGAAGACTGAGGTACAATTTAGGATACAAGCGTGGGTTCGCCGACCTGCATACTTGCAGCGTGTGGCAAAGAGGTGGGAGGTGGAGAATTATTATTTTCGGAGAAATGCCTAGATTGTTGTGATTTTATATATATTTTTAACAGCAACTACGTGACTCACACACGTTGCGAATACTTGCATTACGCCCTTGAGGTTTACGTCACGTTTATTAATAGCCTTGTCACGTGTCCCTTATTAATGCGTCTACATGGAGTGTCCATGTCATGACACACACGGCTCCTGGTCCTCTGGGAAGAGTGTTCAACATTCAATACACCCGTCGTCCATATAGCGTCAGGGCTCTGAAATGTAAACGTATCCAAGAATACAGTTTAAGTTTAAGAGTAATTTTTTTATTTTGCATGATTAAAAAAAAGAAAGTATGTACCCAAGAAAAGGACACTGCATGGATGATGCACCTTTACAAGTTGCCGTGCACATGTTGTTTGACACAAACAGTCAGAGCACCGGCGGCACTTGTCACTCGAATTCATCAAATATATATGGCCATGTTTTGCCGTAATATAGACTCGTGCAGGTTTTTGGATGGTACATTATATATGCATGTCGACTTATAACGACGAGTTTCTTCATCACAACAAATAGAATGGTCTGTTAAAAGTCTCTATTGCTGCGTACTCTTGCCCCTTATATATTATGGCGATCTCTCGTTACGGCGTCTTTCTTAATGGGAAGTGTTCTCGCTATACGGCGTCCCTACGTTATGGCAATTCTTGTTACCGCTTCCTTCACAATGCGAAGTGTTCTCGCTATACGGCGTCCCTCGTAACGGGGGGCGGTCGGGTAGCCAAGTGGTTAAAGAGTTCGCTCGTCACGCCGAAGACCCGGGTTCGAATCCCGACATGGGTACAATGTGTGAAGCCGTGATATTGCTGGCATATTGCTAAAAGCGGCGTAAAACCATAGTCACTCACACCCTCGTCACGGCGTCCACTGGTTCGGCGTCCTGTACATTGCAACATCCTGTTGTCACGTCCTCTCGCAGCTTTGTCTTTTCGTTACGGCGTCCTCTCGTTAAACGGTTTCCTTTATGAATTTCAACGTCCAGTTGTTATGGCGTCCTCGTGTTTTGTGTCCTTTCGTTTGACGCCTTCTTATTCTGTCTATATGCTGTTCCTGCTGCCTTATGACGACACTCTGTGGCCCCTTTTGACTGTATGCAATAAAGCACTCGGACTACCCAGTGTGTCATATAGACAGTCTCCTAGGGTCAGGACACCATGAAGATATAAGGTGAGTGAGTGAGTTTGATTTTACGCCGCTTTTAGCAATATTCCAGTAATATCACAGCGGGGGACACCAGAAATGGGCTTCACTCGCTGTACCCATGTGGCAATCGAACCCGGGTCGTCAGCGCGACGAGCGAATGCTTTAACCACTAGGCTACCGGACCACCCCGATGATATAGAGAATTAACGCCAATATAGAGGAACCTGTTGACGTTTTGTTGATGGACTTCCCCACATTGATGAAATTTTCGCAGATTGTTTAAATCAAGTATATGTAGTAGCGTGGAGATCAACCAATCAGTGAAGTAGTTACACAATATTTTAAACAATTGTGAAAAAAAGTTTTGAATCTGACATACATTAAAAAAATAAATTTTAAATAATAATTTTGAGAAATGGGGCATGTGTGGCCCAATCGTCTGAGACGCTTCAGTCGCTATGTTCAAGGCGGCCTTAATCCCAATTGCGTGGATCGATGTTCATGATGTAAATCACTGGATTGTCAGGTCCAGACTCGATTATTTACAGACCGCCGTCATATAGCTGGAATATTGATGAGTGCGGCGTTAAACAACAAACAAACAAAAAACAAAATGAGACATAGACAAGCAGCTGTGCAGAAAATAAGCTGGTACTCACGATTCATATCAACCGCTCATCAGTCTAAAACATGCCATGTAATCACACCAAACTAAAGCAACAAAATCGTCAATTAACAAGAATAATCCTCACATTATTATTAACTAAACTTGTAAAATGATAGTTCAAAATAAACTTGATTAAAGGCAAAAAACTGAATCAAAATATTTTGGCATTTCAGTATCAATACTCATAAATAAAAAATAAGTAATTTAACTTATGTCATTTTCCACTTACAAACATGGCACATACATCTGTTTAAAAAAATTGTGTCAGGTGTTATTTATTTGGAAGGACGTCTTCTCAGGGTCGCTTATACAGTTGTGGGTAATACATGATCCCCTGTGCGGTGTCATAGACCGCTTTAGAGCGAAAATGAAATCGATATGTCAGACTTTGTAGAATTTGCTTCATAAATGCAGGAAACCAGCTGAAAACTGTGTATGATAGAAAATATAGATTTATCGACTTGTGAGTCAGCGCTTGTGTGGCGTCGGCTTCGCTTTAATATTCCGAATACTAACAAATTATAGTACAAACTGTATAGTAAATGGAAATATAAGCCACATTGACGTAAAATGTTATATCGGTGGGTGTTTAGGTATTTACAAAACAGGAAATGTATTCAAACCCTGTCTTTTGGAAGTAGTCATTGGGAAAGTAGTATCGCAGATGAAACTGGCTATTCCAGCCAGTGACGTCACTCCTCGTAGCCCACTGTTCATTCGTCACTCGTAGCTCGCAGTGCTTGAGTCGAGAGCGCGAGTGTTACGGTGGCTGACTTAATATACCAATGCATTTGTGAATGTTTCAGTGGACACAGGAAAGACTGTCCACTGGTCAAGTGAATACAATCCATTTGGATATATCAAGCCGCTATGTGGCTACAGTCACGGCGTGTAATTTTGACTGTAGCGATTTGTCTGCACGTGTATCCCCCGCCGTTGACTAGGGGCCTGCAGATTGCAGGTAAGTTTGTACCGATCACTTCCAAAGTGTCAACAGTAGCGACATAACACATGTTTCTGAAATATTGAATGTTTTTATACCGCAAGACCTTGTATTTTAACAGACGATCATTAATCGTACTCCCGAATCCTGTCATTTTAAACACTCTGCGTAGGTGGCCCAGAAAATTCTTGGACAGGTGCGTGAACTAATTCTTCCACCAGTGTAGATCTCGCTTATATTGTTCACATCTGCCCTAAATTCCTACAGATCGTGTGTGACAAATCTTCCTGGAGACAGTGTGCTTGCCTGGGTACGTGGGCTTGCTTCTAGGCAATGTTATTAGAAGGCCGCCGTCCAGGTTAAAGTTTGTACACCTGTAAAACTTTCCCCGTTTACCTGTGTCATTGCACTGCGCGACGGCGATGTTTTGACGGTGTTCTACTGCCCGCGGTCGCTGCCCTTGACTGCTCAGCCGTGAAATAGCACTCTTTGCTGTTATCCACAATTAACTAATTCCGATGGTACGTGAACTACCTAAACTAGGCCTAGCGTTTACCGAATGTCACACCATGAACCTCCGAGATGTTTGAAAAAAACCCAACAAAATTATCGGCTTTGAAGAAGTTGAGAAAATAATGACCGCGCCTACAAGAGTTACATAACTTGACCGAATTGTAAATTTTCTGTTTTTCCAAGAGATGCTCTTTGTAGTGTTTGCTATTTTATCAGTGCAGTTGTTAAAGGAATGCTAGATTCTATAAATGCACATATCGTCAGACAATCTCTGACAAGGCTTGTCAAGCGTTTTATTGTTATAGCTATATGAGAATGTATTCATTTTCGTCCATAGTTGACTCAACCCCACAGTAATGCTACCATGTACAGCTATGCTATACAGCATTGTGCTATTTACATTGACTATAGTATTATGTAGTCAGATATAGGTTTAGTACACAAAGACGACCCACGATGCACACTTATTAAAATATGTAATTGCCCAGGGGAGAGTCATTGTTCAGGGGAGTGCCATTGAAATGTATGGTTGGGAGAATTTTTCTATATATAATAATTGCACAAACTAGTTTGTGTATATATGTTTATTATGAAGAGATAATGTTCTGCAAGTTTGTATGATTACTAATACCAGTTTCTCCAAGCTTTATCTAATTCTGTTTGAAAATATATTATTTTTAAAATCTAAGCTAATAAAAATCTTTTATATTAAAAATGCTCTATAATTTGGTTCTAGTTTTTGAAGGCAAATATTGCTATACTTGTAAATAGAGACGTAGCCGTCCATACAAGATACCTGTTATTACAGGTGATGTGACAGGGTGAGAAAACTGATCCTTCGGTCTCATAAATGCACACATTTTGGGGACAATACAGAAGTAGTGTCCACACAGATAGTACACTCTATCACAGCCAGACCCTACCTGTAAGAGGGAAGATCATGTCTGCTTGGGAACAATGTTTGGAAGGTCAAGTGGTTTCTCCCAAACCAAGTTACGTAAAACACAAGGCCACATTGAATTGTTGACAACTTTTACCCTGGGATCGATACAGCGTAGGCCATGAAGGAACTATTGTCCTACCTGCATGTGACAATAATGATATCAGGAGCTTGCACATACATCAAGACTTATTTCGTCTGCAGTATTAAACAGTGTGCTGTTTATGTTATGACTGTTCCAAATAAAGAAACATATATTTTTGGCTATGCTTACGAGTTAAATGTCTGCTCACATTGCTATGTGATATGAGTATGGGCGTTAGAGCATTGAACAGTTTCATTCCATCCATATAGACGTGGTAGTTACTTGTTAATGAAGTGTGTTGGGTTTTCTTCTTGTATGGCCGGCCACGCCAGCTGTTGTATATTGGTCGTATATTCACCTGCTGCCATGTATTTATTGAATATGAAATTGATATAATTTTTAACAACCCCAATGTGTTTCTTGGTAGGGCTACAATGTTTTTCTGCAATGCCATTTTTATATTTTTATGCTTGTTCTTCTACACTATAAATAAATCAGTGTTTACTCAAATCAGATACTGATTTAAAGAAACTATTATTATACTGCAACACATTGTTTCTTCATTGGTATGGATGATATGTATTGTCTGTGTACATTTTGGAAATCATTTATTAATTAAATGGATATTTATAGTTCATTCATGTTTACAAAAACTGTCGGATTTTATTCAGAAAAATATGCAAGAAATGTTTAAATTATTTGGAAAAATCATAGATATGTTATGAGTTATCGACAAATAAATGTATTTTATTCAGAGAAATAATAGCTGAATACTACCGAAAAAAGGTAAAAGGACATCCTAGTTTTTCATGTGACTGAAGTTAATCATCACGGCATGACAGATGAACTAGTCATATGACCAAATTGGATGTTCTTTGCCTTCTTTTCAGTAGTATATATTGAATATACATATACTTCAGTATAAAATTGTTGTTCCAAAGCACTGTGCTGATAGAAAACAGCCAACTGCAAACGACTGTTCCTGCACCTATTTCGGAGGTAGTGGGGTAGCTTTGTATTTGAACCGTTGACTCACTGTGGCCAAAGTCCAGGTTTTGATTCCTGACAATGTGTGAATCCCACTTCTGGTTTTGCCCTGTGCAGGGATGTTGCTAACAGGGATGTGAAGGCATATCTCACTCACCTGCTGGTATTTCAACTAGATAAACTTGGTGATTTTTTGCCAAATGTGAAACTTTTAAGATAGGACGAATCTTTAGATATTTTTCCTAATGGGATAACTGTTTAGCTCTTACTTCAGTATACAATATTACATAAGGTGGAAAGTCTGCATTCTAATTTTAAGCTTTTCTTTGCATTCCCGAATCACCGAGTATTGAGCAGTAGGTTGTCCAATGGGCGGTTAATGCTAACAGTACATGGACTATAGCTCACCCTTGTTTCAGACACCTCTGAGACCTGGGCTGTGGGTGGCCTTAAATCAAAGAAGGGTTCACCTGTCTGCCAGGGCAGTCCTTCACATCTTTGATCTCCTCTGATGGGGAGAGGGGCTGATCTCAATAAATGTTACCTCAACTCTAAGCTTTGCGCAGCCTGGTGGTTGAGATCACCTGTGTAGTCCAGTGCCTAGATAAGAGATTAAGTCACTCTACCGGTTCTCATTCAAATCAGATTAAAATTGTCATGGTGACAAAGTTGGTCATGTTAGAAATGGAAATGTGAAAATCTGTTGAATAATCTACAAATAAAATGCATTTTCTTTTCAATTTAACCTTTATTCTTGGTAGGTTCAGCCTCAATACACTAATATTCAGTATTTGAAATTTTGAGAATATGTTTGGTTTTAGAATGTATCTGAAGTACTGGCCTGTTTGTGTGGCCTTTTGTATCATGATACAGCTATTGGGTATATTGTCCATGTATCATGATACAGCTATTGGGTATATTGTCCATGTATCATGATACAGCTATTGGGTATATTGTTCATGTATCATGATACAGCTATTGGGTATATTGTCCATGTATCATGATACAGCTATTGGGTATATTGTCCATGTATCATGATACAGCTATTGGGTATATTGTTCATGTATCTTGATACAGCTATTGGATATATTTGTATTGTTTTGGCAGATCATTGATGAAAGATCAATTTCCCCAAAATTGCAATGATAAATTCTAAGTCTCTAAAGTTAATTGTGGAAAAATAAGTATTATTTTAATTATTAATAGTATATTTTAAATACGAAACATTCATTAAGTGTTTTCTTCTATAAACTGATCAACAGTGTTTGAAATAGGCCATGACGGGTAGATCTTGTGTCGAGCCTGTAGTTTGTATGGGTCCTTATGGCCAGCAGTAATTGACATGTTCATTTATTTGTCAGAATAAGCTGCATTGTTTTAATGAGGGCCTGAAGAGTTTGGTCAGGGACTGGAGCTTCTAAAGTTAGAATAGCACTTATGTCTCTGGAAATATGTTATTTTTCTTCGAAACAAATGACTCCATTTTTACGTCAAAGGACCTGAGGAAGATCTAGACTTGCTTCACTTAGAGCTTTTGCATTACATAAAGGGCTGGGCTGAACTGAAAATAATAGGGTTCGGGGACTGTGAGGCAGGCTACTTCTAAAGTGTGTGGGTCCTGTTGGCAACCAGGCGATTGGTTTTATTTCAAACACTGCTGATCCGTGGTATTGTTGGAACAAGACATTATTTGTGGAATAAGATCGGAAAAGATTGATGATAAAAGGAGGTACATTGACACGAGATCCGATGACATTAATAAAATACACACTAGTATGACCTATTAGGATGAATAATTGATTGGTAGGAACAAAGCAATTGTCACTTGATAGTGTGTATAGACTCCCACCAGTCTCCATGCTAGCATAGCCAACCCTGTGGTAGAGATTTACCTCCCATGTTTACTATTGTCGGGTGCCCGGGGACTGTAATACCAGCACAGGGAGGAGCTAGTTGACCAATCAAACTGCTTCATTGTTGGTATGATAGGCACTAGCCTTGCTCCAAGGCTGTACTGAATGGTGAGTCCATTGGTGTATAGTATTTCTATCCGCGTCGGCAAGTCTAGATAAGTGGACACTACATCTAAGTACGCCTGTCTTTTATAGTGGCAACCTGTTCTTATTTTTTATATAATCTAGAAATTATGATTTAAATTAATAACTATTGCCTCAGATACTTTTGCAAGTTAGGTAAGCACTAGCAGAAATAAAATCGTGAAAGTTTGACACGACAATTTTATATACAGCAACTGAAAAGTTGCCATTTTTAATTAAATGATTAAAAAAAATAAAATTCAACAGTCGAGTTAGGTATTGAGTGTTTATCAGGAGCCGGATTGCCAGTGATAGCAGCTCCACAGCCTGTGTCGTGGTGACACAGTGCCACAAATAGATGACACGTATCTCACTCTATCGAACCTGGATCAAGCCTTCTTTCATTACGTAGTTCAGTGTGTGATGTTGATGTTTATCTCAGCCAGGTTGTCATTGC